GAATGTCTGTTAGTGTAAAGCGCTTTGGGGTCCGGAGGGACTTGAAAAAGCGCTCTATAAGTTCAGTACCATTTACCATGTATCCAACTGTTAAATGTTTCAGTTGTTTTTGCACAAGTTGCTGTTTTCTAACGAGGAGCTTAACGGCAAAATTCACAACAGGTGTTTGATCCTTGAATCGACCAATAAATGTCCTGGTTCAATTAGAGCTGGTGTTTAAACAGTCGTCCCCATCATGCTGTTCACATTTTGACATCATGAGACCAAGACGACACCTAACAATGGATCAACAGTACCTTACCACTGGGAGGCTTCAAACAGGACGTTCTCAGACGGACGTGGCCACTGAGCTTAGAGTGTCACAGAGTGTCATCAGCAGGTTGCAACAGAGATACCGAGAGACTGGAAGAGTCACAGAAAGGTGTAGAGTGGACGTCCTTTGACCACATCCCATGCTGATGACCACTACATTGTGAACAATGCCCTGAGATACCGGAAGATGAAGGCCACTCAACTCCAGGCACGGTTAAGGGAGGTGAGAGGCAGCCAAGTTTTACGTCAGACCATTGGAAACCAGTTAAGTCAGCGTGGTCTGTGTGCTAGACGGCCTGCAAGGGTACCTGACCAAACCACCAGGCACAGGCGTCATTGTCTTGCATGGGCCAGGGAGCATTTACGCTGGACGAGGGACCAGTAATCCTCAGTGCTATTCTCTGATGAAAGTTGATTCACGTTGAGCAGAAATGATGGCCGCCAGCGGTGTTGGCGACGTCAAGGAGAGCGCTATGCATCCGCCACTGTTGCCACCAGACAAGCTTTTGGTGGTGGCAGTGCTACAGTRTGGGTAGGTGTGTCCATTTAGTACAGAACTGGCCTACACTTTGTGAATGGTACAGTGACAAGCCCATACTACTTGAATAACATCATTAATCCAGTGGTTGTGCCCCTACATGAACAACACAGGCCTGATTTCATCTTCATGGACGACAATGCTCCAGCTCATCGAGGTCGCATCATCAGGGAACGGCTGTGGGAGACTGGTGAACCTCAAATAGAATGGCCTGCACTTTCTCCAGACCTGAATCCCATTGAAAACCTGTGGGATCAGCTGAGTCGCCTTGTAGAGGCTCRAAACTCTGCACCCCAGAACCTGAATGACCTGAGAGCTGCCCTTCAAGAACAGTGGGATACCATGCCCCAGCAGACAATAAGAGGGCTTGTGAACAGCATGAGACGTCGTTGTCAAGCTGTAATTGATGCTCAAGGGCACACGACGAGTTATTGAGATGTTGAAATTATTTGTTGTGGTGTACCTACCATTGTTGTTAACTTTTGTTTCAATAAATTGTTTGAGATGAGGAAATCACCAGTGCATTCTTTTACTTAAATGTCCTACTTTCATGATATGAATTCACTGTAGTGTCGACTTTTTACATTTTCCATAAAATTCACCTGAAAGCCAAATATCCCTAACTTTTTGTGAGTAGTGTACTTCAAGACTCTTACCAAGTAAAATGTTCTTACTCCACTGGCAGAAATTTTTTACTTAATTTGAGTCAAATTTTGAG